ACTCGCCCGGCGCGCCCCACGCCGCCCTGGACGCCAGCCGCTGCCCGATCCGGCGCCTCCGCGCGCGGGGAGGCCTGAGGGGACCACGCGGAGGACCGGCCTAAGCCGCGGCGCGGATCGCTCTGCCGCCAACCTCCTGCCTTTCCCGGGGGAGTCCACTGGCCATCTCTTGGCGCAGTCCGCTGTTCGGTGGGTTGTTTGAAAGCTAAATCAACTTGCCACCTTTTTAAAATTTTTATTTTTTTGCCAGTACTGGAGATTGAACCCAAGGCCTTCGCAGAGAGCTAGGTCACAACTTTTTTGGGTTTTTTTTTTTAACTTTGAGGTCAGGATCTCATTGAATCTTTGAATTGCCCAGGCTGAGCTCGAACTTGTGATCCCGCCTCTGGGGTTACAAGCCCCTGCCACCACCCTGGCTTCCCACACCCTCTTGAAAGAACCTGCCCTCTCCACCCTCGGGTCACCCAGGCCTCGGGAGGGCTTCCAGGTGAATGTAGGCCAGAGCCGAGCGGGCCGATTTTATCAGAAGCTGCCAGATGAGATGGAGATGACTCAGAAAATTCGGTTGCTAAACTAGAATTTTGTAGGAAGTTTCTGTTTAAGTGACTATCATTGACATTCAAAAGTGTGGGGCTAGTTTATATTCCTTTACAGGGAAGTGAAAATTGCTGGCCTGCATCCTTTTAGGTTATTTTTATCTGGCTATGAGTTAAATTAGCATAAAACATTAAAGGAAAGAAATTTCATCACGTTGATGTGCAGAGGAGTCCCACAAAATACGAGACTTCAGGAAGAGTTGGATAATTGGAGTTTGGATAGCATGCTGAGCTACAGAAAATGGGTTTGGGGTTAATGCAGACACGAGTTATGGGAGGGTGCCAGGAGAACCTGCAGGGTGAATAAAGGTTATCTTGTTAGGCAGATTAAGACTTAGAGAATAAAAGTTGTTAATAAAAGCATATTCATATAACCATCCTATTTTTCACTTTCGATAGAGTATTTAATAAATTACATGAGATAGTCTGTACCTTGTTGTCAAGTTGCCTTTGTAGTAGACGATTTTGCCCCAGTGTAGGCTAACGTAAATTTCTGAGCACATTTAAGGCCGGCTAGTCTAAGCTAGGATGTTCTGTAGGTTAGATACACTACCTGCATTTTTAACATACCAGATTTTCAATTTATGTTGAATTTATCCAGAGGTAACCTCATCCTAATTCAAGGGACATCTGTACTTTAATTGTATAGATTTCCTTTATGTATGTAAGTTTCTTTTACAAAAGAACACTGTACCTGGGCCTGCAGTTTCTCAGGAAAACTAGCTTAAATACGCCAAAGAAGTATATTTGGGGCGGCCATTCGGTCTCCTAGTTACGTTTTGGGAGGGAGTGTCCTGAGCCTCAGCACTCCGCTGACTGAGCCCTTGCGGGTTTCTTCTCTACTTCCTGCGCACTGAGACTCCGCTGAGTTTCCCTTCGCCTCCAACCGTAACAGTGCTCTGTACTTGTGTGTGAAGCATTAGACTTTTCACAGTATCGCATTCTGTGCTCCAGGGACTGTGAGATGGGGTAAATGAGGCAGTGCCACACAGCCCGGCTGTTCTCATGGAGACATCAGTTTATTAAGTAGCTTTAATATGTTAGATTCTGTGTTTCCAGATGCTGATGTCCATTAACACTAATCCCCATTAAACTTTCACTAAGGAGTGTTATCCCAGTTTTTAAGGCAAGTTTGCCCAGTGGTAGAACCAGAATCTCCGTCAGGCCTTTCTCACGCAACACCTTGTGAAATAGGACCACACCTGACTGCCTTTTGTTTACTGTCCCTGCAATGCAGCTGAGAGCAGAGGCCGCAGTGAACATGCCAAGACATTTGTTGTATCATCCTTAACACAACTGGAATCTGAGGTTAGTTTGCCATATCCCAGGGTGCCATGGGACATTTCCTGCCCTGCACTGTGTCCCTTTTATTACAAGTCCCTGCCGTCATAGTTCACCTCAGTCTTCCTTGTGCTAGCATTTATATACTGAGTGATTGGGGTTATGTGGTTGTCCCAGTAGGAGCCTCTCACCTGAGACTCTCCTGCCCAGAAGACTCCCTGAGGAAACTTTGTGGACCGTGAGCTCTGCTGAGTGTGCTTGCTTCAGCTGTGTAAGGCAGCTCCTGCACGCTTGGACTGCAGCTC